GGTACCCTCCACTAAATTTCCAGGGTATCTTAAAGTAACAACAAAGTTATCTAAATATTATTACTTAAATCGAGTTATATGCTCTTTAGCGATATATTAAAAGTCACGTGGGTTGGTTAGTAGAGGTGTTAAAATTTAATTGCAATATATTATTCTGTTGGCCATTGAAGTTATGATGTATAAAGGACTTTCAAAACAGTTATTATTCAGAGCGGGCGCTATGTTGCAGTGGTAACACTGTCTGCCTACCAATCAAGGGATCGTGAGCGATCCCCCGCTACTCCACTATAAGAACGAACGAGACTGACCATAACATAATATAGAGACTACACGAATAGAACATACAAACAGAGACAGAGACTAAATGGTTAAAACATTCAGATACAGACAAAACTGACCAGAAATTAGTTAAACAGACAGCAACAGACATACAAAATAGACGTCACTCGGCAGATTATAACAAATACCTAACGCAGGATTCTACAAGATACGAAAAGGAACAGACAAAAATAAACAAGACTTAAGTACATCAACGATACATAGAAGAGAAGACTGAAACGGAACAGGGGAACAGGAATAATAACAGAAGAACTAACTAACGTAATACGCAACAACGGAATATGTTAACAAAAACAGACAGCAAATTACTAAACGGAACATACAACTTAACAGTACACACTGACAATAGCACAATATATGAACACTTAAAAATAGTACATTAATACATGAAAGACACATTGTGAAACAAACAACATAATAGGACAAACAAACAATGCAAAAGGCAATTAAGACAAGACACATAACAAAAGGACAGAAAAACATGTTGTTAAAAGGAAAAAAGACATACGAAAAATGATGTAACTGGAAGAGACACAAGAAACAAAAATCACATGCAAAGACCAGGCACTGAATGGCACCTAGAACCAAAAGGGATTAAATAACTAGTGCATTACCTCCTAAAATATAAAACAAAAAATCAAACTTTTGCCGGGGTAACACTAGACTGTCACATATAGTCATTCGAGCCGACTATTTTTTACTTCCACTTGCCAGTCAATGGGTACACTTGATCGTGATATCTACCTTTAATGTCTGTCTTTTATTTGTATCAAGTCGTCAGAGCGAAACGTGAATCCGTGACAATGTAGCCTGCCAGTATATATAAACGCTGTTCTTTTTATATTATGTTACTTAAACTGGTATTTACTTGATGGGAACATGCCCTTTTGAATTTGATGATCTTTGGCAGCGCTAGCGCATTGTCAATAAGCAACTTTGTGCGTGAGGATTTAAAACAAGGGAGAGCATCTGTAAAAGTTGATCTATTATCTCCCTTGCTTAAATCTATTTAATATTTATACGATACAAGCATAATTAATTATACCCCCACCACAAAATGTGGGGAGGGGGCGGTTATATTCGCTTTGTCGGGTCGGTCGGTCGGTGCGTCCGTCCGTCTCCATTTTCGTGTCCGCTCTATAAACCCTATACCAATCGAAGGATTTTCTTCAAACTTGGCTCGAATGTTCAACTTAACAAGGGGATGTGCAAAACCCATGTTGCCCATGTGTCAGCTCAAGGTCAAGGTCACAATTGAAGGTCAAATATCAAACAATCAAATATTAGACAGTATGTCGTGTCCACTCTGTAAGTCCTACACTAACTGAAAGATTTTCTTCAATCTTGACTCAAATGTTCACCTCAACAAGGTAATGTGCAGAACCCATGTTACCCTTTTCCCGCCTTAAGGTCAAGGTCGCACTTGAAGGTAAAAAATTGACTTAGAAAATATTCTTAAATTTTAACATGTATATGAATATTTCTGAAACTAGAAAATGTACTTACTTGAAACTTAAAATATATATGAAGTGTCACAATTAAAATATCAAAGGTCAAGTTTCATAACTCTGTATTGCATTTTAACAAAGTTATGCCCTTTTTAAGTCTTCAAATTTGCATACAATCAAATATTAGACAATATGTTGTGTCCGCTCTATAAATCCTATACTCTTCAAACTTTACTCAAATGTTCACCTCAACATGGTTATGTGCAGAACCCATGTTACCTTTGTGTCGGCTTAAGGTCAAGGTCACATATGAATGTCAAAAATTGACTTAGTAAATGTTCTGAAATTTTAACATGTACTTGAATAATTCTGAAACTAGAACAGATAATCATTTGAAACTTCAAATATATACGAAGTGTCGCAAGTAAGATATGCAGGTCAAGTTTCATAACTAAAAAAGTGGGGGAATAACTTTGTATTGTATTTGACAAAGTTAAGTCCATTTTTACATCTTTAAATTAATTTACTATAGATATATATATATATATATATAAACATAGCATACTTTTAAAGTAATAACTTAAGATGCAAAGAATTTAATTATATTCATAATCATATTCAACATAAAATTCAAATTTGAATGGAACTTTGACAACTCCATATTGTAAAATACTATTTTGTACAATGTATGTCATATTTTACTATTTTATTTTACTGTAAAACGAGTATGGAAACGATTTGCGCGTTAAAACGCTGGTGAAAAAAAAACCCATAAAATATATATTTTTAAATACTATGCAAAGTCGACGATAGATGTTTCCTCGTGCATACGCAATCTGTATAGCGCTAAAAGATTGAAACGTATAAACTCTTATATGTATATATACGTTTCATAGTAAAACAAGCCTATGTCAGTTCACCATACAAATCACAACAATTTCTTAAATAGGATAGATTAACAATAATTAAGGTAAAATACCTTAAAAGAGTTGTGCCAATGCTTGGAGTGTGTGTGTGCGTGCGTGCGTCGGTGCATGCGTGCGTGCGTGCGCGTATAATATTATGTCCCGTGTTATATTATGTTTGCTATAAAAAGATATTCTTTTTAATTATATGTTTCCAAAGAAAGATAAACTAATTACGAGCTATTTCCAAAATGAAATAACGACTGGAAATCAACAATTACCATCATTTACCAAGCATTAAAATGTTTTGCATTTGAGCCGCGTCACGACAAAACCAACATAATGTGTTTGCGACCAGCATCCGCGCAGTCTGATCAGGATCCATGCTGTTCGCTTACAGACCCTATAACAAGTAAAGAAACTGATAGCGAACAGCATGGATACTGATCAGACTGCGCGGATGCGCAGGCAGGTCCGGATCCATGCTGGTCGCAAACCCTATATGTTGGTTTTGTCGTGACACGGCTCAAATATCAGCAAGCGACCGATATCCGACAATAAGCGATTAGAAACTACATGTAGAATGTTCCTTCAGGTACTCAATACATCTGTATGCATATAATCAGCAAATTATACTCTTTAATCAAATCTAAAATAAGTAGCATTTGAATACTTTTAATAAAAATCTAGTACTAAAATTACACACAATACATAAAAAATATTGTACTCTCTTTGCAAGTAATTGGACCCAGAACTATTTTGTTAAGCGCCAGTTTATTTCGTATGAATATACTAACAACATACAATAGTTGTCATTCTTGAATTACTCCTCTTAACAACTCTATAAACAAGAAATAAAAGAAATATTATATTCAAAACGACCAACGACATGAATTAAGGGAACGATAACTATTTGCGAATTAAACCTCTTTTTTTTTTTTTTGAGTGAGACTAAAAACAGGATTGGAGCACCACACTAAATACCGTATTCCGGTAGATACCGGGCAAGTCGCTTGAATCTAAAATGCTAAAATATTGCCTTTTTACCCAACGGAATGAACTTTAATAGGTCTAATTCATCTTTTCACACCGAATTATGTATGATAATGAATGAAAACTGTAAAACTCGGCGAAGAAAACAATACTTGTCTATTTTGTGACCATGATTTCTGCAAGCGTCTAGAGGTACTGCTCCAATCCTGTATTGAGTTAAATCCTTTTTTTTACAATGGTTGTCTCCCTTTGACAACAACTGAATGCCAACTTATAACGTATTTGAAGTATTTTATGAATTTTTTTAAAAAAATTATGAAACACAAAAAATGGTAAAAGCATTATGCTAATTTTCGTAAAAAATAAAATGTATATAAAGTAATATATTGTGAAGTGAACATTGCAAATGACACAATCCACGTAAATTACAAAAGTAGAGGTCAAAATATGCACAAAAATTAGAGGTCAAAATATGCACAAAAATAGACCTTACTGCGTTAATCACACAGTGCAAATATGGTGATAAAGTATGCTTAATCAGTCTTTAATCGCACATAACATGTTAATTATTACTTGAATATTGTATCTTTTTACTTTTCTTAAAATCTTAGTACATTTTTTTAAGTCTGATATTCTTGAAACAGTTTGGCCAATCTGTATGCATGCAGCTTTAAGATTACATTAGTAAACAAAACTAAAGCTACAGTCTCACTTACATCCCGGCAGAGCCCCGGCAGAGCCCCGGTAGACGTCCGGGGTGATCCGGGAACGACCGGGGTACGACCGGGAACAACCGGGGTACATCCGTAACTCTGCCGGCAACGTCCTGGATGATCCGGGATGATCCGGGAACATCCGGCATTCGACCCCGGATGGAATAAAATATTTAATATCACCGGGGTGGTCCGGGATGATCCGGGAAGGTATAGCTTTGCCGGCTTCATCCTTAGCTCTGCCGGGAACGAACGGGGTTATACCTGGAAAGCACCGTAGCTCTGCCGGCACAAACCGGGGATGATCCGGGGTATGATATAGCCGGTAGAGCTACGGTAGAGCTACGGTAGAGCCCCGGTATATGCCGGCAGAGCCCCGATAACTACAGGCAGAGCCCCGGAGGATAAAGGTAGAGCTACGGTTGATCCCGGTAGAGCCCCGGCAAAGCCCGGATCTTTTCAAAAGAATAACGACAATTTGCGATGATTGCACTTGTTTGTATTAAAAGCCTTCCCATTTCCCTTCTATCCAGTATGGCATAAGGATTTTTCAGAAAATCATCATGAATTACTATTCTGGAACAATAGATCCGGATTATTAAATAAAAATTATGTATCAATGTTATCATTTTCGGGCGTTTTCAATCCACCGGGGTTCTACCGGGGCTCTGCCTGGATCGTCCTGGGCTCTGCCGGGACTCTGCCCGGATCGACCGGGGCTCTGCCTGGGTCAACCGGGGCTCTTCCGGCGTCATCCGGGAACGACCGGGGAAGCACCGGCATGAACCGTAGCTTCACCTGGGCTCTGCCTGGATGATCCGGAGCGCATCCTGGGTGGTTAGTAGGGAACTACCGTAGTGCTGCCGGGGTAAGTGTGACCGCAACAATAATTTCATCCCGGATCGTCCCGGATCATCCCGGTAACTTACCGGGATGGTCCTGGGCTCTGCCGGGAGTAAGTGAGACCGAGGCTTTAGATAAAGTCATAACACACCTTCATGATGCAATTTTCGACATTTTCACAAAACAATTGTATATACAAGTATGCCTATACAGTGAGTTCCATTAGGAAAAAGGTCAATATTTAATATAGCGCCACGCTTATATAACAAAACGTTTATATATCATTCTTGATCACTTTGAATTTAAAAAGCACGCCATCTCTGTCGAAGGAGTAGTTAGTTACCTCCCTTCTGTCAAGCATTTCAATCTTGTTTTCATGTACCAGTTTATCGAAGAAAGGTTCAAGTTTGTCCACATACTCGCCTACATATTTCAAATATTCTTTCCGCATCACTATTAAAATCAATCCGCCTGAAAGTAGAACGAGAAATCTGATAGACACATTCATAAGATGGGGGGTCACTTTATATGAGAAATTCTATTTATACAGTCGAAAAGAAGGAATATGTTTATAGTCCATCTGGTATAAAGTTCTTCTTCTTCTACTCGTTTGCCTGTCTACACAGTCAGCTGAATGTTGCTGTCTTTCAAGACTCGTCTGCATCGTCGTATATCTATTGTGCATCAATTTGGGTCTGCTTATAGTCCACTAAGTCGAAAGGAATTTATTCATAGTTCAGCAGGTGGAAAAAAATCCTTAAGTTGAAGTAAATAAATGTATAGTTCAATGCGTTGAATCAAATCCGCGTCTAGTTAAGAAGGTTAAAAGAATTCAACGTATAATTGCAAAGGTTAAGGGAAATCAGGATAGTTCAGCAGCTTAAAAGAACTACTTGTCTAGTTCAGGAATGAAGCTATCTATAGTTTAGTATTCCGAGAGAAAGTTCGCGTTAAATGCTATGCTATGCTATAAGCAACATAGGCAAGGCTACATAACCGGCTTTCCTGGATAACTAACCAGTAAATAATAATTTCACCGCAAGTGACAACAATTTCTGGATTAGCGGTGAGAGATAAATGACCATTGCACTCAATGAGAGATAAATGACCATTGCACTCAATGAGAGATAAATGACCATTGCACTCAATGAGAGATAAATGACCATTGCACTCAATGTCAAAGATCAATTGTCTTTAAGAAATTTCATCTCGCCAGAGACCCCTGAATTATAAATCCAACGCTCGCCATATTGAGCTAAGCTCAGGAGGTAAAGTAAATTAGAATGTGGCTATCACTTTTAAGTTGGCTTCATTGATTATAAAATTCTTTCGTTATTTTACTCGTAGATACAAGTTTCAAAAGTCAAAAATATCTGGATTGTGAGGCAGATATATTGACTTTAAATATCATGGTGGTATATAGACAAAACAAAAATACAAGAACATTTATCAGTATATCACGGCTGCAAGAATTACCATAAACAGGCTCAAACTGCGACGTTACTATTTGCATTTGTGATGTTTTTAGCAGACCTCTAATGTTTCCATTTCTACAACGCAAAATTATTCAACTACGCATACATTTTGTTAAGAGAAGGTCACATCTAAACAGTTATGGCGTTCTTTTTTTAAAGATGTTGTCAACATAAAATCCTGTAGTAGAAAAACACCTTACCTAAAACAACAATAAATCACAAAACCCCGTTACCGATGGCATCACCAACGCATTTAATTCGATATCAAATTACCCCTGCAATTATATTCTGTTAAAGGTACTCGTCTATATATTCACTGGTCACATCTTTTAACCTGATTACGTTTCGGTGACTTTAAATAGTTTGTGCCGTATATTTTGAACAACAAGGGTGTCCGTCGTTAGCTAAACTTGAAATATCCCCCGCACCGCTGTGGGTTCGAATCCCGGCAGGTAGTTTGGATTCTTTCATGTTATATAGCTAATCGGGCAAAAGATCAGTGGTTTTACTCGGGTGACCGCCCGCTCGTTACTGAAATACGAGGGAATACTATGGAACGCCATCTATGGCGTTCCATAGAATACACTGGACACTTTGGGTCTTGTTCTCCGCCAGTAAATCTGTAAGGTCGCCATAGTGCACACAAAATGTTGGTTCACGCAGTGATATATAAAACACCTCCCTAACCTTACATGAAACTTCTCTTTATTTCAATATTGTCATTTACTGTTTACTTTTTTAAAAAATAATGGAAATAAAAAATTAATAAGTATATAATGTCTATCTTTAATTCAACATATTGCTCAACGTACCTAAAGAAGTATTTCGCAAACTGCCTTTAAAACAAGAGTGCGCGAGTTGTCTAGGGTCTAATTAATAATCAATTTTTTCAGTGAATGAATCTTTTCCAATTATTCAACAATTACGTTAGGCAGGTGTTTTAGAAAATTGGTTAATTGCTCGTTATTGATAACGTCCACATGTTGTTCATTTCCAGTGTCAATTTCATCAATATTTTCCAAACACGAATTACGTCGCAGACAAACAACATCACACTAATGACCTTGACTGTATCAAGTACAAGAAACGATTACTTTTAAGTCGTTCGCTACATTTTCATATAGACATATAGGCAGAATCCAAATTCAAGGGCAGATAACTTGAGAACACGAGATCGGTAATACCCTATCTCCATTCTTTCGATTACGGACGTTTGCTACAATTATGATAGTTCCAACAGTTTTATCTACCATTTTGCGCCTATTTTTATGTCATTTCAAGGACAGATAACCTTAAATTAGTTGTAAGACTGAAAAAAGTCTTTATGTTAAAAAAAAATCTACTTCGGTAAAGAAAGCAAACGATACTATAAATTATTGAACTTTGGAAGTCAGCTACATGAAAAACAGGGGAAATAGCAGGCAATGTTATAATCATGACCTTGAAATAAGTACAAAATATCCAAATTCAAGGGCAGATAACTCCATAACAAATTGCTCGACCCCTACTTTATCTTCGCTTATTATGTTTCTGTTATCCTTTTATAAAATAATGGAAAGTTAAGATGAGGTCTATAAATAAGTTTTAATTATGCTTTTATAATTATCTAATGAAAACTGTTAGGAAGTGTATTCTCAAATTGTAAGAGCATGCAAAGTTCTAATGTACAGTTTCTATTCTGCCTATATGTCTTCATTTATGACGTCTTCAAAATTTGGCTGTAAATTAGAAAAAATGCAGAGCTGGAAAAAAATGCATGCAAGTAGATAAAAAAAGAATTTTATAGTATGTTTAACAAACGAAAGATTTTTCGTCTTTTTCGATCAAACAAGCTGGTGATAATTGTCTTGCTATATTATATCTAACTAGTATGAGAAGTATCAGCAAACCTTTGGAACTAATTTGAACGTTTACTCACGTATTCATCAAACGTGTCTATTCTCTGGTCTTTCTCAAACATATTTAGACCATTTATATACATAATATTTTAACATTCACCTGTGACGTCCGTGGCCGAGTGGTAAAGGTCGTTGTCCACTTGCCCCTCACCGTTGTGGATACTTCCATGTAGGTAGCTATCCAGCTTGCTTATTACGGAACGCCGGTGGTTCTACTCAGTTGTTCGTTCTGCACGACAAGGCACCCGACGTCTTCCTCCACCAGTAAAGCTTGAACGTCGCCATGTCGGTGTGACGTAAATCCCAATCAAACAAACAAATAAACACATATTATTTACCTGGTTTTACTATTCGGATCATTTCTAGTATTCCGGTACAAGGAATATGACTCTCCCCCATACCACCAGCTACTACCAGACTATCATATACACCTGAAACAAATAATTGAGCCGTGTCACGACAAAACCAACATAATGGGTTTGCGACCAGCATGGATCCAGACCAGCCTGCGCATCCGCGCAGTCTGATCAGGATCCATTCTATTGGCTATCAGTTTCTCTAATTGTAATAGGGTTCGTAAGCGAACAGCATGGATCCTGATCAGACTGCACGGATGCGCAGGCTGGTCTGAATCCATGCTGGTCAAAAACCCATTATGTTGGTTTTGTCATGACGGGGCTCATATACTGTATAAAACCAGTGCAATATGCAATAAGCGTTCCTAGTTTTCAGCAGTGAAAAATTAAGCCCTAACTTGTTAAGAGGTTTCTAAGTTAATAGATGATTGGTGTAAAGCGGGCGGGGCAGCAGGGGGTGGGGACGTTGGTCAAACAAGATGATTTCGGTTCAATAACTTAAGTTCATATTGATTTATCTTAGTAAATCTTAGTATATAGCAAGCTTATGTGAAGGTCTAACTTGGGTTTGCTTTTGGGCTGTGTAGGTTCAAGGTTAATGTCACTGTTAAACGGTCTCAGGTCAATAACTGGACATCATTTATAAAATGCGCAGGAAATTTCCTCATTTTGGAGTATGCGACTTATCTGGAACCCTCCATGTCAGATGAAATTTCCATTAGGTCTTAAACTGTGAGAATAAATAAATTGGAGCATGCGACTCATATGGCACCCCCATGCCAGATGAAATTTTCATTAGTCTTACACTGTGAGAATAAATAAAACATACCGTTATCAATGGGAAGCATTTTATCACAGCAAAATTCTCGAAAAAGTTTCTTGTAGATGTCTTTCTTTCTGCACTGTTTCAACATCCCTTCTGATGGATCCAGCCCGTCGATATTTTTAAAGCCAAATGCAGCTAACTGGAAATGGCAAGAATAAAAGTCAATTTCAACATTTAGTATCTACAGCAACAACATTATAACGATATTAGACAATTTTCAATATACCTCTATAGTATTAGTTATACAGACTGGTCCCGGCTCAATACTGGCAGCAAATTCTGCTCACTTTGGGTACCGGCAGATTTATGGTTAGTGAACTAAGTAAGATAGGTGTGCCTTTTTATTTGTCTTCACTTTAAACTGGACTTACGATACATTTTCAAGTCAGAGCTTTAAATTAGTGTTATATGATTACAGAGGAAATATATTTCAAATTGTCAACAATTGCATGAAACTGTGAGAAAATATACAACGAATATTGTGAAATACCTTTTATGTGGCCATAATTGCAAATACAAATATATGCATTCTAGATTTTAACAATTCAAGGCTTATGAAAGTGAATACTTTTCTGGTGTATATGACAACTTTCAAGAGAAAAATTCACTAAAACTAAACTTAAGTAAAACTAAATTAAGCAACCTAAAACAGCCGACTTTACATGTTTTCATTTATACTGCAAAAATTGGCGCCATTTAATGCTACATCAATCGGTACATCTCAGCTATTATTGTTATCTCAAGTTTGACGGAAAGGCCCGAGAGGATGCGATTGATGATCCAGGCGTTCCAACAGTCACCAGAAGCTGACTGTTACTGTAGTCCGTCCGCTTAGTTCAATAAGGAGAATGTCGAATTTGTACTTCAAGGCTCGCTGTCTCGATTCTCCGGCGGGGCGTAATTTCTCCGTGATAATTGGTTTACTAGTATACAGAATTTATTTTAGTTCTATCGTGTAGGAAGCTATAAGCTTATAGACACACTTTCGAATCCGTTCCTGAACCAGCCAGTACTGAGCAATGAGTGTAAAGTTTATTGCTCAAGGAAACAACGACTTGCCCCTGACGGGGTTTAAACCCATGCGGCTAGCGATCATTAGATTACTAGTCCGACGCGTTAACCACTCGGCCATGGCGCCACTTTAATGGTGATTGGTCCGTGATAATTGATCGTGGACATTTGGTAAAATGGTCATTTGTCTCTCACCGCTGATTTAGAAATTCCTTTTGGATTAATTATCAATCACTTACATTTTGATCCAGGAAAACAAGTTTGGTGTATCGACTTCCGTGATATGGCAAGAGACAAGTGTTCAAGTCGGTGTAAAGGAGAACTAGAAAAATAAACAACAGTAATTGTCATAAAAATGGCTATAAGTTACCTCTTCTCCGACACGGCCAGTTCCACAAGCAATGTCCATAACTTTAATTTTATCTCTGTTTTCAGGAAAACAATTTGCCATTTCGTCTGCAATGATAGTTGGTCCGTTATATGTTCCCGGGTTTAAATCCTGAAAAAGAATTATCGGAACTATATGTGTAAAATATTGTCATTGTGAAATGGTATAAATACTGGTTTTGAATGTAAAAAAAGGTATTAAAATTTGGTCTTAATCCAATACATCTTTGAAAGGTGCAATGTACTAAAACATGATAATTGTGAATGTTTTATCTACCTGTTCGTATTTTTTATTTTCAGCCCAGTTAGTATAGTAGTCAGCCACCTCGTCCGGTGACATGCCCTTCCGGTGGGCTCTATAGTTAGCCATGTATTTTGCCATATATTCCCGTGTCTTTTTCTCTTCAACTTCGTCCTGTTCATCACCAGATCTGTTCCTACATATGGAGATTTTAAGATTAAATATATATGTATCTCAATTTTTGTTGTTGTTGTTGTTGATGATGATAATAATGATGTTGTTGTTGTTTTTGTTTGTTTGTTTATTTGTTGTTGTTGATGATGATGATGAGAATGTTCTTGTTGTTGTTGTTGTTATGTTGTTGTTGTTGTTGTTGTTGTTGTTGTTGTTGTTAATATTGATGTTATTGTTTGTCTTGTTTTGACATTGAAACAAATTTCACTGTAAGTTGTTGTTGTTGTTGTTGTTAATAATTTTGAGCAGTTATGGATATGAAATAACAGTGTACACATATAAAAATATATATCTGGCATTCCCGTTTTATTTCTGGTATCAAATCGCTACTTTATGCATGCTTTTAATCATTTACTAGATCACCTTATCATATAAAGTATCTGTTTACCTCACTCTTTAACATAGGAAGAATAAAATAAATCCGTAAATCCTGTTTAAAAATCATGTTCCGTATTTTCTGTCTAAGAATGAATAAATCACTGTGTACGTACAGGTGTAGGTTAATGTTGATATGTAGCGCCTGGTTCACATAAAGCAAACACGTGTAAATTTTACCCGAACAAAATATTCAACGTGCTTGCGTGTACAAGATAATTCTTGATATGTTACAGGCTGCGGAATTTAAATAAATTATAACGAAGTAAACTGAGAAAACTCAAAATAAGACATGATTATTTACCTGCGCGAACGTATATTATATATTTATTTATTTATTATCATTTTTTCCAAAAAGTTTCATTAAATCTTTGTTTTAATACATAAATTATTGTAGATTATAAATTTAGTATTAAAAACTTTTCAATTTGATTCAAATCGGCTCATAAATTTCGCTATGCATTACATGGCAGATATACATGTAAGTAGGTCTGAACTTTAATCAGATTTTTTATTTTCACATCAGCACAAAGCGTAAGTCTCAATGCGAAGAGAGGTAATGTAATGTATAATTTACTCAAAAACAAATATATTTTCTATTTGTCTTACGTTGTACTCTATATGTAGCTTTTGCATTTAAAAAACGTATCCCACATTACCTTTAACATTAAAAAAAGCACTGAATGAGGTCAGACATGAAAATTCATTGTTTTATCAACTACTATATCCTTTTATGTGTAGAACAGGGACCAGATTAAATTTTTTCCTTCAGTTTCAAGCAGTGAAATATGACTTATACGTTTCACTGATAAGTAAATCATTTAAAATAATTACATCGTGGTCAACATGTCGGACAAGTAATCTAAGGATATCTAGCCGCTTGGGTACAGTCAGGCAAGCCGTTTGCTCCAGAAACGGATTCGGGGTTCGAGGGTGCGTCTATGGCATAAGCTTATAGCTTCAAACACAATCGAACTAAATGAAATTCTGTAAAAAAATTAACAGATACTTACACTTTGTAATATGCACTGTTGTAGCAAAACCAGTGGGTTTTGGTTTTTCTTTTGGGAGTCGCGTCCATCCCTGTCATGTACGATATCACCATCGGGATATCTGTTACAACAACAACATCAACATTAAATATACATGTATATCAAATTATAATACATTGTATTACAAAAGAGAGAGAAAATCTTTATTAGATACATGTATGTGTAAAACATGTCATGATCTATCTTTTCGATTTATTTATTTATTTATTTAACAACATAGTTCCTTTAACTTTTGTATGTGAGAAGTTAACAGTGAGATATAGATATAGGGATGGTAATGATCTGCTGTAATGCTCAGCTGTTTTGGGCATCTAGCAGGGCATTCCTAAATATAGTGTAAAAATGCTCTGCTGCAATACTCAGCTGTCTTGGCAATCTAGCAGAGCATTCCTAGCTTTAGTGAAAAAATGCTCTGCTGGAACGCTCAGCTGGCTAGGCAGTCTAGCAGTGCATTACTAAATATAGTGTTAAAATGCTCTGCTGGAATGCTCAGCTTGCTAGCTAAGCTGGCTAGGCAATCTAGCAGGGCATTACTAAATATAGTGAGAAAATGCTCTGCTGGAATGCTAAGCTGGCTAGGCAATCTAGCAGGGCATTACTAAATATAGTGTAAAAATGCTCTGCTGGAATGCTAAGCTGGCTAGGCAATCTAGCAGGGCATTACTAAATATAGTGAGAAAATGCTCTGCTGGAATGCTAAGCTGGCTAGGCAATCTAGCAGGGCATTACTAAATATAGTGTAAAAATGCTCTACTGGAATGCTAAGCTGGCTAGGCAATCTAGCAGGACATTACTAAATATAGTGTACAAATGCTATTCTGGAATGCTAAGCTGGCTAGGCAATCTAGCAGGGCATTACTAAATATAGTGTAAAAATGCTCTGCTGGAATGCTAAGCTGGCTAGGCAATCTAGCAGAGCATTACTAAATATAGTGTACAAATGCTATTCTGGAATGCTAAGCTGGCTAGGCAATTTAGTAGGACATTACTAAATACAGTATAAAAATGCTCTGCTGGAATGCTAAGCTGGCTAGGCAATCTAGCAGGGCATTACTAAATATAGTGTAAAAATGCTCTGCTGGAATGCTAAGCTGGCTAGGCAATCTAGCAGGGCATTCCTAAATATAGTGTAAAAATGCTCTGCTGGAATGCTAAGCTGGCTAGGCAATCTAGCAGAGCATTACTAAATATAGTGTACAAATGCTATTCTGGAATGCTAAGCTGGCTAGGCAATCTTGCAGGACATTACTAAATACAGTATAAAAATGCTCTGCTGGAATGCTAAGCTGGCTAGGCAATCTAGCAGAGCATTCCTAAATATAGTGAACAAATGCTTTTCTGGAATGCTAACCTGGCTAGACAATCTAGCAGGGCATTACTAAATATAGTGTAAAAATGCTCTGGTGGAATGCTAAGCTGCTAGGCAATCTAGCAGAGCATTACGAAATATAGTGTAAAAATGTTCTGCTGGAATGCTAAGCTGGCTAGGCAATCTAGCAGGGCATTACTAAATAAAGTGTTTGAATGCTCTGCAGGAATGCTCAGCTGGCTAGGCAATATAGCAGAGCATTCCTTAATATAGTGAAAAAATGCTCTGGTGGAATGCTCAGCTGGCTAGGCAATCTAGCAGAGCATTGCTAGATATAGTGTAAAAATGCTCTGCTGGAATGCTCAGCTGGCTAGGCACTATAGCAGAGCATTCCGTAATATAGTGAAAAATGCTCTGGTGGAATGCTCAGCTGGCTAGGCAATCTAGCAGGGCATTACTAAATATGGTGTAAAAATGCTCTGGGGGAATGCTAAGCTGGCTAGGCAATCTAGCAGGGCATTCCGATATATAGTTAAAAAAAATGCTCTGGTGGAATGCTCAGTTGGCAGACTGATTCTGAGTTCCAGGATTTATTGTTGCCAAAGTTTTATTGACATTTTCGACTTCTAGGCAATTCTGAGGCACTCGCAGACTTTCAGGAATTTTCGGTGCCAATAGAAATAATGATATTTTTGACTTCTAATGACCTTTCAGAGACTATTTCATTGTCCTGCGACTTTTTGAAGGACACTCGCAGACTTTCAGGAATTTTGGTGCCAATGCTGATATTGACAATTTAGACTTCTAGGGACCCTCAAGAGTCCATTTTGGTCGTCTGCGACTGATTCTTGGACACTCGCAGACTTTCAGGAATGGTTGGTGCCAATGGAAATAATCACATTTTTGACTTCTAGGGACCTTTAAGAGTCCATTTTATTGGCCTGCAGCGTATTGTTGGACACTCGCAGACTTTCAGGAAAATTTGGTGACAATAGAGATGATGGCAATTTTTTCTTCTAGGGACCCGCCAGAGTCCATTTTTATGGTCTGCGACTGATTCTGGGACATTCGCAGACTTTCAGGAATCTCTGGTTCCAATGGAGATAATGACATTTTTGACTTCTATCGACCCACCAGAGTTCATTTCGCTGGTCTGCGACCGATTTTGGGACACTTGCAGACTTTCAGGAATTTTGATGCCAATGGAGATAATGACATTTCTGACTTTTAGGGAACCGCCAGAGTACATTTCTTGGGTCTGCGACTGATTCTTTTAGACTCGCAGACTTTCAGGATGTTTAGTGCCATTGCAGATCATGACTTTTTTACTTTTAAGGACCTTTAGTCATAAGCAGAGCATTTTTACCCTAAAATGTCATTATCTGCATTAGCACCAAAAATTCCTGAAAGTCTGCAAGTGCCCAATAATCACTCGCAGACCAACGAAATAGACTCTGGATGGTCAAAAATGTCATAAATTGTAATTATCTCTATTGGCACCAACAATTCCTGAAAGTCTGTGACTGTCCAAGATTAAGTCGCAGACCAAAAAATGGACCCTGGATGGTCCCTATATAAAAAATGTCATTACCTGCTTTGATATCAAAAATTCCTGAAAGTCTGTGAGTGCCTCAGAATCAGTCGCAGACCAAAAAAATGGATTCAGAAAGGTCCCAATAAGTCAGAAATATCATTTTCTGCATTGACACCAAAATTCCTGAAAGTCTGCGAGTGACTCAGAATCAGTCGCAGACCAACGAAATAGACTCAGGAGGGTCCTTTTGAAGTAAAAATGTCATTATCTCCATTTGCATCGAAAATTTCTGAAAGTCTGCGAGTGTTCCAGAAACATTCGCAGACCAACGAAATGGACTCTGGATGGTCCTAAACATTCACAAATGTCATTATCTGCATTAACAACAAAAATTCCTGAAAGTCTGCGATCGTCCCAGAATCAGTCGGAGACCAAAGAAATAGACACTTGAGGGTCCCGTAGAAGTCAAAAATGTCATTATCTGCATTGGCACTAAATTTTTCAGAAAGACTACAAGTGCCAAATAATCAGTTGCAGACCAACGAAATTTATACTTTATTTAAGAATGCCCTGCTAGTTTGCCTAGACAGCTCAGCATTCCGGCAGAACATTTTTACACTAATTTTCAGAATGATTTGCTGGATTGCCTAGCCAGCTGAGCATTTTTAACACTATATTTAGGAATGCCCTGCTAGATTGCTTAGCTAGCTGAGCATACCAGCAGAGCATTTTTCGCACTATATTTTGGAACGCTCTGCTAGATTGCTTAGCCAGCTGAGCTTGCAAACAGAGCATTTTTACACTATATTTAGGAATGCTCTGCTGGATTGCCTAGCCAGCTGAGCATTTTTAACACTATATTTAGGAATGCCCTTCTAGATTGCCTAGCCAGCTGAGCAATTCAGCAGAGCATTTTTACACTTTATTTTGGAATGTCCCGCTAGATTGCTTAGCCAGCAGAGCATTTTTACACTATATTTTGGAATGCCCCGCTAGTTTGCCTAGACAGCTCAGCATTCCGGCAGAACATTTTTACACTAATTTTCAGAATGCTTTGCTGGATTGCCTAGCCAGCTGAGCATTTTTAACACTATTTTTAGGAATGCCCTTCTAGATTGCCTAGCCAGCTGAGCATACCAGCAGATCATGTTTACACTATATTTTGGAATGCCCCGCTAGATTGCTTAGCCAGCTGAGCATAACAGCAGAGCATTTTTACACTATATTTTGGAATGCCCCGCTAGATTGCTTAGCCAGCTGAGCATAACAGCAGAGCATTTTTACACTATATTTTGGAATGCCCCGCTAGATTGCTTAGCCAGCTGAGCATTACAGCAGAGCTTTTTTCACTATATTTTGGAATGCCCCGCTAGATTGCTTAGCCAGCTGAGTATAACAGCAGAGTATTTTTAACACTATATTTAGGAATGCCCTGCCAGCTGAGCATACCAGCAGAGCATTTTTACGCTATATTTTAGAACGCCCCGCTAGATTGCCTAGCCAGCTGAGCATACCAGCAGAGCATTTTTACACTTTATTTAGTAATGGCCTGCTAGATTGCTTACCCAGCCTATATAAATCGTAATGCCTTTTTGCTTAGCTCACTGTTAACTGCTAACTTCTCACATACTTAACTTTTTAAGTATTTAAACTTTTTAAGTAGATCTACATGTATATAAAATTATAAATGTGATCAGGCATTACTCATTAGAGTATTGAGGCGAGGACACGATAATTGGCCAATTTATCGTGTCTTCGACTTTCAGGGCGACGACACGACGGCACGATAAATTGGCTAATTATCGTGTCTTTTGTGGCTAAGACACGACGACACGACACACATAGGACGGTGATACGAAGATTTCTACCCGACGGCACGATAATACGTCAGCCCGCATAGCACGTGTGACTTGTAATATTGACATTGTGGGTTGATTCTCGGGCTGGTCAACTAAAATTACTAATCAGTCTTTCGGATGAGACATTAAATCTAGGTTTCGTGTATGAGCTAAAGAACTAAGCTTCTGGCATCTAAAACGATTAATACTCTTCTGGGGGACTCGCCAATAGACTTGCCAATATTGGCACTGGTGGCGAGTAAAATAATGTATATCGGCATGTTTCAGCGCTTCGACTAGCCCCTTAACCTGCTGAGAGCGAGGTAGTTGTAAACACTTTGGAATCAGGCCAGATGTCTTAGACTACACTGAGCAGCGTT